TTATCCCGACTAGAGATCACCAGAGTGGTGGAAGCAGAAGAGAAGAGATCTTCAGGTCAGTGGGAAGCCATACACTTGGCATAATAGTATATGGCTGCTTTCACATGGATGCTGTTGTTGACCAACACAGTGGGTTTGCTGCACTTAGCCATAAACTTCTACTATATCCTGTGGGTTAGATGCACTTTCTGAAAGCACACCAAAACTCTGGAAAGCAAGACTCTTGGTGTGCTTTCAAAAAGTGCACCACACCTGCAGGACACATTAGAAGTCTATGGCAAGGGGCAGCTAACCCGGGTAAGTCACAGATGCACTGTGCTGCACCCACAGTGCAGGTGAACCACATCACTGTGAAAGCAACCCGATAGGGGGCTCAGAACAGTAAGAGTTCATTTACATTTGCAGTTAAGATGTGTTTTTACCACTCCCGCCCCAACCACACCAACTTTAGCTGCAGTGGCCAGGGGTGTACACCTGTACATGTTGCAGCCCCAGGAGGAGTTTATACTCACAGTCATGGTTGGTGAATGAGGCCACTCTGAAAGTGCCCTGCAACTTCGCGAACAGCAAATAAGGGTTTAAAGCAGACAGCTTTGTGTTTTCTCACTAACCGCTAACCCCTTGGATCCCGCAGAAGTATGCAGTTGAGGAGCGCTTGCTAATAGGCCCAATTTACTTGAATGGGTTGTGATTGATTGGCAGGCGGTAGCACCCACCAAAAACAACAGGGGGTTTAATTCCTGCTGTGGCATGTGTACACCTTTGGTTCCTGCCTCGGCAGCTAAAGGGGGTAGGGATTGGGGGCAGTAAAACCACTACAAAACCACAGGGTTTTTTACCAACCCTTCAACTTTAGGTGTGAACGAGCCCTAAGGGTGCCTCTGCCAAATGCAACTAAGGGCTAATTCACAACTGCAGCAAAAACTGGTGCGCCTCTGAAAGGCTGAGCCAGGTGCCGCTCCAGAATCTAGGGCGGATCCCGAATTGGAGGTCGAGACCTTTCCCCAGCTAGGGTGGATCCCGACTTTGAGGTCAGGATCTTTCCCCAGCCTGGACGGGCTGAGTGACGTCAACAGAAAACTTCAGTCCGCTGTCAGCTGAAACCGGGTCACAGGAGTACCGAACAAAACGACTCCTGTGATCCACAGGAGAAGTACAGCGAAAAAAAAAAAAAAAAATCTTTGGTTGTACTTCTTTAAGCGGTCAGATCCAAGATAGTCATCTATGTAAATCTTCCTTTCCTAGGAAGTGTGATGCCTGGCCCTGTGGATTTCCCCTGCCTCTTAAGCCTCCCTCTTGGTGAAATCATTTGCAAAACAATAGGGAGACTCAGAGGACAGGGCCAGGCTCCAATTCATTTGAAAATGTGAGATTTGGCATAAGGCCACGGTGCGGGGTCATGTTATACAGCTGGCGGCGGTCCGGAAGCGGGAGCGGGAGCGCCGACTTTTGGAGCTTCATTCTCTCCTGGCCTCTGCGGATGCGCGTTGGAAGTCCTCTCCATCTGCGGCCCATAAACGCGCTCGGGACGCTCTGGCGGCAGAGTTAGACCTACTTGCCTCTTCAGAGGCGGAACGGGCCCTGCGTTGGACCAAACACAAATTTTATTCCTGTGCTAATAAGCCAGGCCCGATGCTGGCCAGGAAACTCAATTCTGTGGGGAAACCCCATAAACCGATTCGACTGCGACTTCCTACAGGTGGCTGTACTTCTAATCCCCAGCAGATTGTTTCCCGATTTTCGGACTTCCTTTCGCGCCTCTATGCTGCCCCAGATCCTTTCCCTGTGGCCCAGGCAGAGGCATTCTTTCAAGACCTCCATCTTCCCGGATTAACCGAGGCAGCACAGGCGGCCCTCAACGCTGGTGTCACTGTACCGGAAGTGCTCCAAGCGATCAAATCTTTACGGTCCACCGCGGCCCCAGGTCCCGACGGCTTCTCCGATCTCTATTATAAAAAATTCTCAGCCTTGTTGGCGCCCTTTTTGGCTGAGTATTTTAATGCGTTACGACAGGGCTCCTCGCCCTCCCCAGATGCGCTTAGAGCGCATATCGCCATGATTCCTAAGACGACCGATGATGTACAGGAACCGCAAGCCTTCCGGCCTATTTCTCTTCTTAATGAAGACCTGAAGATATTGGGCAAGATCCTTAGTTTCCGCATTAATAAATATTTGCGTAGCCTGGTCCACAGGGACCAGGTAGGGTTCGTCCCCGGGAGGCAGGCGGGGTGATAACGTTCGTAAGGTGGTCCATCTTATACATTTTCTGCAACAGCGGAAAATCCCGGGATTCTTACTGTCTTTAGACATATATAAAGCCTTTGATTCTCTATCCTGGGAATATCTGCGGTTTGTACTGTCTCGTTGGGGTTTTGGGGATTCTATTCTTTCTTGGATTCAGGCCTTGTATTCTTCTCCTTCGGCCTCCGTCAAATACGCTGGGTATGTTTCAGATCCCTTTCCTATTGGGCGAGGGACGAGACAGGGTTGCCCTCTGTCCCCAGCGCTCTTTGTCCTGGCGCTTGAGCCGTTGGCTTTGGCGCTTCGGACCGATTGCAATGTATCGGGGGTTCCTTACGCGGGACAGGAATTCAAACTGAACCTTTTTGCGGATGATGCCCTCCTGACTCTTACTAACCCCCTGACGACGCTTCCTAATTTGCAACAGGTTCTTGAGCGCTTCTCCTTGATTTCGGGTCTCCGTATCAACTTGGATAAGACTGTCGCCCTCAATATTACTTTGGCTTCAGATTTGGTTTCGCGCCTACAATCCCACTTCCCTTACAAATGGGCTTCCTCTTCTCTTGAATACTTAGGCATTCGCTTGACCCCCACTTATGACTCCTTGTTTGCTGCGAATTACTATCCATTGCTTAGCTCTCTATCCTCTCTTATGCATTCTTGGCAATTTCCGCACCTGTCTTGGATAGGACGGGTTAATTCGGTGAAAATGACCATCTTGCCGAAATTGTTGTATTATTTTCGCACACTCCCGGTGCGGGTTCCCCCTCATTTTCTTCGGTTGCTTCAGGCGAAGTTAATGCGTTTTATCTGGGCCGATAAGCACCCCAGAGTATCCAAAAGTACGCTTTTTGCCCATAGACTTCAGGGTGGTCTTGGGGTGCCTAATGTGACTAAGTATTATCAAGCAAGCCAGATTGCCCCGCTGTCTATGTTGCACGCCTCTTCCGACGTCCCCCTCTGGGTCCTGTTGGAACTACCTAATTGTGCCCCTATCGCACTATCGACGCTTCTATGGCTTCCCCCTGCCCTGCGCCCTATGGCACTGAGTCCGATGTTACTTCATGGCCTACAAGTTTGGGACTCGGTGCGTTACTCTGGTGGTCTGATGTCACCTTTTCTGCCTTTGCTCCCAATTATTAACAACCCTCTTTTCCCGCCGGGTTTGGATCACCCAGGGGCGTTTTCTTGGTGGGTGACTAATGGTTTTTCGCAGGTGCGACACTTTTTGATTTTTCGGTCCTTTCCCACCTGGGACTCTCTTCGGGAATCCCGGAATATCCCCCCGGCGGAATTTTTTCGATATCTTCAATTGCGACACTGGCTGCTGCTCTCGCTGCGGGGTACTTCTGCGTTCCCGTACCAGAAATCTGCCTTTGAACAGCTCTGCCAACTGCGTCCGGGCGCTCCGGGCCTTATATCCCTTCTTTATGCAGCTCTGAACAGACGCTCGTCGCATACTTCACTTTCATATGTTGTTCAGTGGGAGCGCGACCTGGGAGTGGCTGTGGATCCGGAGGACTGGAATAAGGCCTGGTCACTCATAGCTAAATGCTCATTTAATACGACCACACTGGAGGCAGCCTATAAGGTATTGTTTCGTTGGTACTGGGTTCCGGCTCGGCTGGCCCGGGCTAACCCTGCCTGTAGTGATCAATGTTTTCGGGGTTGTAGTCATCGTGGTGATGTATTACATATCTGGTGGTCATGCCCGAGACTGTTTCGTTTTTGGTCTCGTGTATTTGGCCTCCTTTTCACCTTGTTCCATCTCTCCATACGCCGGGATGCTCGGTATGCCTTGCTTCATTGCCCCATACTGGGCCTCTTAGCTCACCAGCAGAAGTTGGCTTCCTATCTGTTTTTATCCTCCACTAGAACAATTGCTCAGGCCTGGAAGAGTCCGTTTGTCCCTCTTCAGGGGGTGCGGGATCGTATGACCACTATGATGCTCAACGAACAGATGTCGAGTATCCGCAACGACTCCCAACGTAAATTTTTGAAAATATGGGAGCTGTGGTTGCAATATGCCCTTCCCCCACTCCCCCCGGCTAGTCTGGTGATGTAATGGCGTTCGGTATTGGCGCTCTTGAATCCCTGCTCTTTGCCCCCACCCCTTTTTTTTTTTTTTTTTTTCTTTTCCCTTTCTTTTCTTTCTCTCTTTTCTTTTTTTCTCTCTCTCTCTGTTTTTGGTGTGACTGGGCAGCTGCATTTAGTTGTTATAACCAGTTACATTACTGTTTTGTAACTTATGTGCCATTGATAGCCCCTGCGTGGGCGTACCTTTTGCCCTGTTGGCATTAGAGCATTGTTTTTTCCTTTTTTTTTATTTTGCATATTGTTTATCTGTGCAATTGATAGCCCCTGCGTGGGCGTGTTTTATTGCCTCTGTTTATACTGTTTAAAATTTAATAAAAACCATTGAAATAGAAAATGTGAGATTTGCATATAACAGCTGCTCTACTTCCAGATCTCTCAACAACTGTCACTTAAGGTAACTTCTGATTATGTATTGCTTCACCACAAACTCCAATTGTATTGCCTGCATTTGCTTCAAATGGTCCCTGTGTGTGTATGGGGCACAAACAGCAAAAGGCAACCTACTGTGTGTCTTAGTCATGCAAGGTAATGAGTGACAATAGAGGTTTTCAATAATTCTCCACTATCCTACAGTGCGAGCACAAAGATATAGGAGTTGTTCAGTTTCAGTTACTCTGACTCATGCCGTAATTGCCTCCTGCAAAGGATGGAACCCAGTTTACCTGTATGTGATACTGAGCGCCAGATACATGAGAAAAAAGACCAGAAATTCTTTGTACAATAGCTTGTAAATGCTGCCTCTCCATAGTAACAGGAGCTTATAAAATCCGCCAAATCGCGCATTTGCCACCCGTGCTGTATATGTGACTGTCATGACACCTGGCTACGCGGCACAACACAGGAACCTGGAAAGAGAAAAAGGAACAATCATTAAAAAGGAATAAGACACTCAGGAGCCAGGGTACTGTCATAGGAAACTACATGGGTAATAAGACACTCGGGAGCCGGGTTACCGTAATAGGATATTACAGGGGTAATAAGACACTCAGGAGCCGGGTTACCGTAATAAGATATTACAGGGTAATAAGACACTCGGGAGCCGGGTTACTGTAATAAGATATTACAGGGGGAATAAGACACTCGGGAGCCGGGTTACCGTAATAAGATATTACAGGGGGAATAAGACACTCGGGAGCCGGGTTACCGTAATAAGATATTACAGGGGGAATAAGACACTCGGGAGCCGGGTTACCGTAATAAGATATTACAGGGGAATAAGACACTCGGGAGCCGGGTTACTGTAATAAGATATTACGGGGTAATAAGACACTCGGGAGCCGGGTTACTGTAATAAGATATTACAGGGGAATAAGACACTCGGGAGCCGGGTTACTGTAATAAGATATTACAGGTAATAAGACACTCGGGAGCCGGGTTACAGTAAGACACTCGGGAGCCGGGTTACAGTAATAAGATATTACAGGGTAATAAGACACTCGGGAGCCGAGTTACAAAGTTTAGTGTCTATTTACTCTGGCGTGGGGGCCATATTGGAACACCTTTATTGATACCCACGCAGTATACCTCTAGCATGAGGTGAAATAGCGTTTTGTGAAGGAAGTAACATGCGAGTGGGTATTTTAATGTTTTCTATGCACAATTAGTTAATAAATACATATTACACTATGGAGGATCTTGTTTTAGTATGATTCTGGGAGAGGTTTGCTGTGAGCTATACGGAGGTTTGGAGTGAAGAGCGCTTACCACCACTGAGGGGAGCCTGTGAAGATTCTGCCCTTAATAGGATCGGTGTGATCCCCTAAACGAGCTGACCCTGTGGGGTCGATGTAAGGAGGTGGGGGACATTTTGGCCACTAAAGGATTGCCACGTATTAGTCATCTACACATTATCACTTGCATGCGAGTCAAGTTGGAGCACCATCAGTATAGATTTATTGTTTATGGACTTGCACATTATGAATATATGATTTATGTTATATTTGCTTAGGAATTTGAGTTTTGGTATTCACTATTCATTGTACGACACTGTTCATCACTGGCACTTATGTTCCCTTAGAAGGAAGTCACGTGTTGCACTCATTTTTTATCCCTTATAGTGTGTTGGATAGGGGGATGGAGTGTGTCACACTATTTATGTTTAGCATTCATTTATATTCACATTATTTAGCGCTACACTGTTTGTATATATTTATTCCTGCCCAATTGTTGCCACTACTTTTGCTATCCATCACGGATCAATAAGTAACATTTTTGGGTATCAGTTATTGATCTTCATAGGATTACACCACTCAGAAGGTAGGAGAGGTTTGTGGGGACTGTTCAGTAATAAGTTCCTGTTGTCAGTGGTTGTGCAAAGAGGCTAGACAGCAATTTTATTATAGTCTGCCCAGTCTATACACCATCTGTTTCTCGAAGTATTGATAAATTCTTGAGAACAAGAGCAAAACAATGGAAAAAAAATTCATTAGATTTTAGGTTGAGTTAAGTCCATATTAAACAAACGTGAGCAGCAAAGGTGCAGAGATAACCAGACTCATTCCCATAGATCCCCATGGCCTCCTCTGTCTGGGATCAGGAGATGACTGTGTTGTCCCATAGAAACCTCATTCTCCCATTCCTGTTTGTGGCTATTGTGAGATAACGCAAGAGGGAATCAGATTATATATGAAAGGGAAGCCACTTCTCTATGACACTTTGATAAATGAAGAAGCCTTATCAGAGAATCTTATCTGTTAGGCAACATGTGCAAAAATTGTAGACTGCCTCTATTCCAGCTTTACCTATAGACAAAGAATTTCCCATAATGATACTTGTGGGCCCATGCCTATTAGTCATGAAATCTTGTGCAATTTTATTTATAAAATATAGACAAAGGCAACTTTTATTTTTTTAGTTTTTTTGGATATAGTGTGGAGAGGGATTAGAATCCCCGTCAGGTTTTTATTGTTTCTTGTGCCCTGGTTAGGGAGATTCACCCTCTCTGTCTGTCCTGTTTACCGCTATTACTGAGAGTGAAAGAAAATACCAAATTTTGAGTTGTCACCAGAACAGGAAGAGAGGGGAAATCTACAATGGAGACCCTAGTTCTGGTGACAACCAGGGATTCCCTAACTTTCTGTTAATAAATATGATCATATTTCGATTGATCTGAATATGAGAATACATACTGGAAACAAAGATGTGATCCTAAGTTATGATCGTATTTTACCCATTGATTGAACGCCACTTCCCCCTTCGTGTCATATCAAACAAATGGGTTGTCATCCAAGCAGTATATTGATTATTCCTATCAGAAAGGATCGATCGGAAAAGAAACAGAACATTAGACTAAAATCATGCGTAAGCTTGCCATCATTGCCTGGTGGATTCTAATAGAGATGGATGGATCACACAAGAAAAAAAAAAAAAAAACAAAATTGCCTGTTTGTGCTGTATAAGCTTCCCATCAATCTGGTTGAATTTTTCAGAAAGCCAAGAACTCTCCCCCCAACCCCAAGTCACTACTCAGTCAGTCATTCAGCACTGTATCAGGTAAAGTAGAGAAGACTATTCCCATTTCTGAAAGTAGAGGCAGCATCCTCATACCTGGGAACTCGCTAGAACTCACCTGACAACACTGGAATTTCATTCACATTGGTAGGTCATTACCAGACCTACAGAGCGGTCTACCATTGATGACCAAACTGCTGGGTGCTTGGAGGTCGGGAAGAAGCGTGGTGCGACAATGTCTGGGTCATTGGAGTGAGGGAGGGGAAGACAGGTCTAATGCAGGCCATAGACTGGGAGAAAAGCGGCCAATTTTTCGTCGTCAAAAAAAAAAAAAAAAAAAAAAAAGGTCCGATTTTCGGATCGTTAGTGGGGTAATCGGTTGGCCATTTTTCGTGATTTTGACACTTTTTTTTTTTGTCAGTCATGTTGGGGAAAAAAAAAAACAAATTGGCCAATTTTGTCGTTCAGCCGATTTTCACAGCAATGATGGACAAATCAGCGGATCTTTTTACTGATTTTAAAAAATGCGCATGAGCAGTGACCAGCAAGAAGAAGGAAAAGTAGAAAAAAGAAATAGAATATGAATAAGAAGGAGAGAAAGAAGAAATAGAATATGAATAAGAAGAAAAAGAAAGAATTTCAGTCCGATATTATATTTGACATTTAAAAAGTATAGCAACATTGTATCTATTTGTATCCGAATAGAAACATCTGTATCTGAAATGGATACAAATAGATACAATGTTGCAACTTCTTCTTGTTAAGTGTTCTTGCATGGCAAGACCAATTACTGTTATCTCACATATATATTATTATTATAGCCAAATTTACCACCCTAACTCCTCCCACAGTTTTTACACTACATAGACAGTAATATACAGAAACGTGCGGATAGTTCCCGATTGGTGTGCTATTACTTTGTGGAACGTTTTGCAGGGTGTCCAGGCTGGGTAACGGACACAGTGCAGGGTGTCCAGGCTGGGTAACGGACACAGTGCAGGGTGTCCAGGCTGGGTAACGGACACAGTGCAGGGTGTCCAGGCTGGGTAACGGACACAGTGCAGGGTGTCCAGGCTGGGTAACGGACACAGTGCAGGGTGTCCAGGCTGGGTAACGGACACAGTGCAGGGTGTCCAGGCTGGGTAACGGACACAGTGCAGGGTGTCCAGGCTGGGTAACGGACACTGTGCAGGGTGTCCAGGCTGGGTAACGGACACTGTGCAGGGTGTCCAGGCTGGGTAACGGACACTGTGCAGGGTGTCCAGGCTGGGTAACGGACACTGTGCAGGGTGTCCAGGCTGGGTAACGGACACTGTGCAGGGTGTCCAGGCTGGGTAACGGACACTGTGCAGGGTGTCCAGGCTGGGTAACGGACACTGTGCAGGGTGTCCAGGCTGGGTAACGGACACTGTGCAGGGTGTCCAGGCTGGGTAACGGACACTGTGCAGGGTGTCCAGGCTGGGTAACGGACACTGTGCAGGGTGTCCAGGCTATGTCCATTACCCATCCTGGGCACCCTGCACAATGTACGTTATCCAACCTGAACACCCTGCACGATGTAAGTTACGCAACCCAAACCCTTGCAATATGTCTGTTATCCAATGCAAACCCCTGCACTATGTACATTACGAACTCCAGATCCCCAAACTACGATATCCAACCCAGACTACTGCACTCAACTTGAACCCCTGCACTATCTACTGAATGTTACATACATCTGACCTCTGCACTTGTAGGTAGGCCTAAGTTTCAAGCTGCCCCTCCATTAAACACAATTTTGTCACACCCACCATGGCACACAGCGCTATAAATCCTACCCACTACCCAACCCCCTTATCTGCCCTGATTCTCAGCAATTCTCATTGCCAGAAGTACGAGCATTATAGGGCCCGGACAGGAACGGAGTATGGGCTCAAAAGGTCGTAGCTATTCTAAAATTACAATATAGTCATATAATCAGAAATAACATTATCCAGACCTCTGAAAATCAGTCACAGTGGAAGCACCCCATACAAGGAAGGAGTTATACAGTCCTGGTAGGTGTTGTATTCCTTTGTTCCAGCTTCCACAAGAACAGTTCCAGATAAAACACAATAGACATTCCATTTTTATTGGATTAGTCAGCATTCCTCCACTTTCCCTGCACTTGACTTGTAGTCCATTGGCCATACAGGAGGGCCCAGAGCTGAGAATTCAGGATTTGCTGGGTAAACCAGCCCTGCGAGCAAACACTAAGAGGACCTGTACAAACTGACGGCAGCTCGCCACATATCCCGGGGTCAGCTTCCCTGTAAACAAAGACCTTCACAAATGAACGATACTAGGAGTAAACTTCATTTGTGAAGAAAAAAATAGGTCAGAAAT